CAGACCCTGGTCTAAGCCCCACTTAGCTGCTCTGCACCCTCCTCGGACTTGGGGGGGGGGCTGGTTCAGCCATCAGGCCACTGTGCAGATGGGGTCAAGATGGCAAGGATGGACAAGAACAGGGACTGAGGCTGGCAGGCATGACCTGGAAAGCCCTAGAAAGCAGAGTGGCCTTCCGACTTCTAGGTGACCCTGGCAGCGGGTGGCACGCGTGTTCATGGCGGGGGTTGCCACCTCCTAGGCCAAGCGGCCCTCAGGGTGCCCTGGCCGGGCCTGCTCACCAGGTGAGCGCACCAGGAACGCTGGGCTGCCTCCTCCCCAGAGCCGGGCCTGCGGGCGAGTCCAGGCAGTGGGCTACCCTGGGCCACACCTGCCAGCCGGTGTGTGCCAGGCGGGCCAGCGCGCTGGCAGCCAGGCAGCAGCATTCGTGGGAGTGTGCAGTGCCAGGCAGACAGGCCAGATTGAAACAGTTGCCTGGGAAACGTGGCAGGACCCGTCGGGCAGCAGAGTGCGTGTGTGGGGCCCACTCACCGGCTCGGGAACGAGGGCTCCGCAGCCTCCTCAAGGCATCTCCTCCCCATGGGGATGGGCGTCCATGGCTGAGACCCACCAGTGCTCGGCAGGCTCAAACCCTGGGCTGCCACGGCCTCCAGCCGCACCCCAAAAACCCCAAAGCCAGGAACCAGCTGGGGAGTTGGCACAGGAGAGATGGCGGCCCTGTCTCCACGCCCCCATCCCAGCCACCACCTCTCTCCTGGACAACCCCCTCTCCCAGCGGTCCTTTAGAAGCTGGCCGAGAGGTCCCCACCTGCCCCACTGTCCACTCCCTTCTCGGCAGCTGCCCTCTGCCCAGTCACACCGGCCCTTCCTCTGTCCTGATCCAGGTCTGCAGCTCAGGCTTCTGCCCTCACCAGTTCGCCTGCAGGTGGTAGCTCCTGCTGGCCCTTGGGCTCTGCTCTGGTGTCCCCTCCACCGAGAAGCCTTCCTGACCCATCCGAAGCTCCTCCGCAGGCCCTCCCTCCACCTGGCGGGTGCTGCTGGGTTGTTCCGTCCCGAGAGTGGGAATTGTAGGCTGGGTGTTTTCTGCCTTCCCAGGAGGGTGAGCCGACACTCTGCCCCCAGAGCGTCCCCAGAACCTCAGGGAGTGCCAGCCCAGAGGGACCCAGACTGAACTAGTCAGCCAACCCTGAGGGTGAACCAGGGGTGGAGGGGATGGAAGTCAAGCAGAGACCAAGCTTTGGGGATACTGGGGGTTAAACAGCGTTGAACGAAATTCCGTGTCTGCTGGGAACCTGCGACTGTGACCCAGTTTGGAAGCCAGGTTTTCGTAGATGGAATCTGGTTAAGATGAGGCCATATTGGATTAGGGTGGGCCCGCGATCCGGTCGGACTGGTGTCCTCCTAAGAAGAGGGGAGCTTGCACACAGAGCCACGAAAACACAGAGGCAGGGCTGGAGCCGTGCAGCTGGGAGCCCAGAAAGCC